AAACAGAGAGAGCAGTAAGCAATGCTTCTGCAATTTGTGTTTTGTTGCTGATGATGTTTTGAAGTATTTTGAGAAAATTGAGAAGCAGCTGGTAGAGCAGAGGCTCTCCAGTAATGAGTAGGTGAAAGAAGACAAACTTCTTCTTCTAGTGGCCCACGCTAAGCAGGACATACTCCCAGCCTGGAGCCATCCCTACCGTTCCCCCTTCCTGGGCAGCTCCAATAGAGGCCAATAAGCAGGGCCATGTGACAGAGGACGTCCAGTGCACCAGTTAAGTCAGGAGGGAAGGGAGAGAAGGGAGGGAAAACAGAGAGGGGAGGGATGGTGAAAGGTGACTCATTACAGAAGGAGAAATCAATCAACTAAGTCACCACAATGAAGATGGTGACAGCTTTGGCTCTTGCTATCAGAGGAGGAAACCACAAATACAGAAAAGAAAGAAAATTGTGCTGAATTTTCTGGTATTAGAGATACCAGATTAAACTCATAGATCTCAATATATACTAGATAAAGACAGAAATGAATATAAACATTAATGAAGCTTATCCATGTGTACATATATCCCTAGCTCTGTACTAACATCTAGAAGCAGTGACAACCCTACAATAATAAGCATACATAATGCCCAGATCTTGATTTCTAAATACTATTCTTCACTAAAAGGAACCAGGGTTCCTGGGGAAAGAGAGGATCCCAAGTCTGAGGCAGGGAAAACACAGGATAAACATGGGTATCTTATGTAGCTGAAGGTAAAAATGTGTTCTTTAAAGAATGACTGGGACATCAAAAGAGCACAGGACCAATCTGTGGCCAGATTTGGAATAATATAAACATCAAAACAAATAAGGAAGGCAAGTGATTATAACCCACTAAGTAAAAGAGAATCCATGAATGAGTGAATCCATCTGAGACAGAAAGACAGGGAGGCGGGAGAACAAATTAAGTTGAACGGGATACATACATAGTCTCAAAGTAACTCTCAACAAAATACTAATTACTAGGGGGAAACTTGGCCCACATCACAAAATCTCTAAACTACAGATGCTGGCATGGATGCGGAGAGAAGAGATCACTTTTACACTGCTGGTGGGACTGTAAACTAATACAACCCTTTTGGAAGGAAGTATGGAGAATCCTCAAAGAACTCCAACTAGACCTCCCATTTGATCCTGCAATCCCATTACTGGGCATGTACCCAGAAGAAAAGAAAATTCTTTTACCATAAGGACACTTGCACTAGACTGTTTACGGCAGCTCAATTTACAGTCACCAAAATGTGGAAACAGCCTAAATGCCCACCAACCCAGGAATGGATTAACAAACCGTGGTATACGTATACCATGGAATACTATTCAGCCATTAAAAAGACAGAGACTTTACATCTTTTGTATTAACCTGGATGGAAATGGAACACATTATTCTTAGTAAAGCATAACAAGAATGAAAAAGCAAGAATCCTATGTACCCAATTCTGATATGAGGACAATTAAATGACCTGGTACTTGGTGGGGGTTGAGGGAAGGGTAGAGCAGAGAGAGGGAAGGAGGGATCTGGGTGGGGGTCATGGTGTGTGAAACATCTTTTGAGGGTAGGACACAATTATAAGAGGGACTTTACCTAACCAATGTAGTCAAGGTAACCTGGTTCTTTGTACCCTCAATGAATCCCCAACAATTAAAAAAAAAATTTAATAAAGTAGTGACATTAACTCTAACAGAACAAATCAAAGCTGTGTACCACCTGGAGGGACAGGATAGGATGCGATATAATGATGGGGTGTCAAGAGAAGAAGATGGCATCACTCCTGAGGCATTCCAAATTGAGAAACACTGTACAAAGCCAACAGCCTATGATTTTCAAAAATGTCAAGGTCATGAAGCCAAGAAAATATTGTTCCAAATCAAAGATGACTAAAAGAAACAAGAAAACTAAATGAAATGTGTGACTCTGCCACGGATCCATTTCATATAAAAGACAATACGGGGCAACTGACAAAAACTGAAGTCTGAGAATCAAACGGTTATAAAATATCGATATTAGCTTCCTGATTCTGATGGTTGCATTTTGGTTTATACTTGATGGTAGGCAAAATATACCAACGTATTCAGAGTTGATAAAACATCATGTTGTTAATAAGCTCAACCAGTTCTTGGGAGAAAAGTTATCTCTTCCATTCATAAACAAAAACAAATGAGAAGGCAGCTTGGCACCTGTAACTCAGCAGCCTGGGCATTGGCCACATACACTGGGGCTGGCAGGTTCGAATCCAGTCCAGGCCTGCCAAACAACAAAGAAATCTACAACAAAAAAGTAGTCAGGTGTTGTAGCAGGCACCTACAGTCCCAGCTACTTGGGAGACTGAGCCAAGAGAATCACTTAAGCCCAAGAGTTTGAGGCTGCTGTGAGCTGCGATGCCATGGCACCTCTACCAGGGGTGACAAAGTGAGACTCTGTCTCAAAGAAAGAAAGAAAGAAAGAAAGAAAGAAAGAAAGAAAGAAGACTATAGCACTTACCCAGATATTCCAAACAATTCCCTGACTCTTTGAATGTATGTCAGTTACCTTAGACAAACACTTATAGGCTATACCATAACATTCACAGAGTAGTGTGTATGTCACAAGTAATGTTAACTAGAAGTGCAGTTTAAATCAGGGAGGAGGGTGTATAAGAAGTGAACCTTACGATTTCTAACATGCCTTACTGAAGCTGACTGTATTTTTATTTTTATTTTTATTTTTTTTGAGACAGAATCTCAAGCTGTCGCCCTAGGTAGAGTGCTGTAGTATCATAGCTCACAGCAACCTCAAACACTTGGGCTTAAGTGATTCTCTTGCCTCAGTCTCCCAAGTAGCTGGGACTACAGGCACCCACCACAATGCTCAGCTATTTTTTAGTAGTCGTTTTCACTATTGTTTAGCAGGCCCAGACTGGATTCGAACCACCAGCTCTGGTGTATGTGGCTGGCATCCTAGCTGCTGAGCTATAGGCACCAAGCCTGAAGCTAACTTTAATCCAAGGTTAGAGTTCAATGAATGTTGCATATAATCAGCACTGAATGTAGAACCATTTATTCTTAGACCTATGTTTGGGGTTGGTCTGCCCACTATGCTGGTCCCCAAAGATAGTAAAGTGGTAAGAGTATTGGTTACATCTCCTGACCCACATACTGGACAGCCAGGTATAAGGTAGACAGACATCATTCCAGCATGATGGAACCTTTTTGTTTGTTTAAAAAAAACCAGAGAGAGACAGGAGAGGCAGAGTTTGCAAGACACAATCATAGCTCAATATAGCCTCTAACTCCTATGCTCCAGTAATCAATCCTCCCTCACCCCAGCTACCCAAACAGCTGGGACTATAGGCACACACTACCATGACTGGCTTATTTTTTTGTTTGGGTCTTTTCTTTGGGGGTGGGAGGGCAGAGATAAAGACAGGGTCTCACCATGTTACCGAGTCTGGTTTCCAAATCCTGGGCTCAAGCAATGTTCTGGCCTCAGCTTCCCAAAGTGCTAGGATTACAGGTATGAACCACCATACCCAGCTTGCTGAAACCTACTTGCTAAAGAGAACAGCTCCTAAAGAATGGTTCCTATAGCAACAAAATGAAGTGACAATGGGATAGGATGGGATCCAAGAAATGCAGATTAAAAGGGGGGATGGAAAACACCTTTTTACCTTTCCAAACTGTCTCTGTATCTTATCTTTTATTAGACAGCATAGAGCTTTGGGGCCAAAACCATTATTCAGACAAATGTTACAAAAGATCCACATTCTCTTTTCTATGTGTAAGTACCTACACCTACAGGAGAATCAGGTTAGATTATTTCCTACACTTTTCATAGCAGAGTAACTTTCTCCTCTTCTTAAAAAATAACCAGAACTAATTTTTTCCATAAGCAACACACAAACAACCTGCATCTGCCTGAGAAATGATGCTTCACTAAGATACTGCAGACCCCAAAGTGTACTGATGGTCTCTGAACATTACTGTAGACCCCAAAGTGTACTGATGCTCTCTGAACATGTATGCATCTCCTGCCATCTAGTCTAATGCCATGCAGAACCTGATTTACATCATACAAAATCTGCAGTAAATAAACTTGTCTCACCAATTGCTCAGAAGCTCAGAATTCCAGGGAATTAAAAGTCCAAATGAATAAGTTAAGTAACAAAGTAGCAGCCAAATGAACACAGCAACTTTCCTTTCATACTACATTTTCAGAGTCCAGTCTACACAAAGCATGGTATCTAGATCATATTGTTCTCAATGTTCATCGCACAACACACTTGCCCCTTACAAATTTAACTATATGCTCTTGGTCTTCACAAAGCATCAATACAAGCACACTCCACTTGAATAGTTTCTATGTCTTCTGTGAAGTCATAGCTGAAAACATAATCCACTATGCCACACAATGGCAGAACCCACAGAATGTCTTTTTCGCCAAATACAAAACCAGGAAAGAGTCTTTCTCTGTAGACAAATGTGCGTGCTTTCTTTCCACAGACAATGAATGCTGTGTATTTCAGTGCTGTGCAGAGAAAGGAATGGTTGGCTCTCTTTTAGCCTTAGCACTCAGAGAACTAAGTCAAATACAGCGCACAACAGTTATAATTAGCTCCTCTTAGGTGCCTGGTACCTTCTACTCCCTACTTCTTCTCACATGGTTTACTATGTCCTTTGTCTTTAATTGTTCTACTAGATACTATATTTTCAACCTTTTTGAAAGAGCCTAGAACATGACTATGTATATATAGTATGTGTGTGTATGTGTGTGTGTACTTTCTATCTCTTAAAATTACCTTTCAGATCTCTTACCTTTTTTGGTATCTTTCTACATCTGACCTAAGAATTTAAAATGATATTGACGTAGGAGGCCAATTTAATACCCCAAGCAGTTTACATCACCACCTCCCCTTGTTCGTTTCCCAACAAAAATCAGTGAGTGGCCTGGTGGAGAAGGCCAGACTCACACTGCCACGGTCGGCACATCACCTTTGCAGTAGTCCGCAGGGTCCTCTTGCTCTTCATCGTCTGATCCCAGGATTTCCTCCTCTGGCTCTGGGGGGGTTGGATCTGGCAAAGGTGGTGGTGGTGGCGGCGGCGGAGGAGGAGGTACTAAAGGAGCTTTCTGCTGAGGCTCCGGCCTGAAATAGTGGAAAGAAAATCCTAATTTACTTAGAAGTAAATCTTGTATCACAAACACACTTGAGTATTTCTTAATGTGGGAAATACTGGAATGTGGGAAATAGTGGAAAGAAAATCCCAATTTACTTAGAAGTAAATCCCAATTTACTTAGAAGTAAATCACAAACACACTTGAGTATTTCTTAATGTGGGAAAAAATAAAATTTGTCACACACTAGGAAGAAATGTCAATTAAGGTCACTTCATCCGTTTTAGCTGAATTCAAATACTGTTTCAATATATGTTATCAGATGTTGATACGTATAATACTTATTTTTATAGGCAACTTTTCACTCAGAATATCAGCATTTCTTAAGTACTATCAATGGTAAGGAATTTGAATGAAATGAAAGCACATCCCATGATAAATAGCCTTATTAGTTTAAAAAAAATCCCACAGAGATTACATCAATACAGAAGCTAGTAGCCCTCAACTTATACAAAGATCTGTTTTCTGTTATCTGAAAATCAGAATACCTTTTTCAAAGAAATTACAGGAATGAGTTCAGATTTCCAGGATACTTATAAAAGCTGATTAATATATATATACACACACCCATAGCTACAAGAATGGTTATTCTCATTAGGAAATTCAGTTATCTATCAACCTTGCTTAATTAAAAATACTATTCAAACTAGAAATTAAAAAACCTGGTGGCGCCTATCGCTGAAGTGGCTAAGGCACCAGCCACATACACGAAGAGCTGGTGAGTTTGAATCCAGCCTGGGCCTGCCAAACAACAATGACAACTACAACCCAAAAATAGCTGGGCGCTGTGGTGGGAGCCTGTAGTGCCAGCTACCTGGAAGGCTGAGGCAAGAGAATCGCTTAAGTCCAGGAGTTGGAAGTTGCTGTGAGCTATGACACCATGGCACTCTACCAAGAGTGATAGCTTGAGGCTGTCTCAAAAAAATAAAATAAAATAAAAATAAAAAAACTTACTGTCAGTCCAATACAAATACAGTCAACATACTAATGCAAGATTTGCAATGGTTATTTCCCCTTGTCATAAAGGTTAAAATACTGTTTAGTATGCTCTTCTATAAAGTATAGGAACTCTGTAATAAAAAGAAAATTCATGGGTTAAAGAGTAAACCCTGAGATATCCAGAATAACTCATAGGTATAGTAAATATATTTGCTTAGAAGTAAAACATTCCCAATGGGTCCTACGAAAATCAAGCTTTTGCTTACCATACAAGTTAGCTGCTATTTCAAAACATGTCTCAGTGGGAAAACATAAACCAAAGGTCTCAACTTGGACACCAGCAGTTCTCTCCCTTAACCTGCCCTACTAATGGGACTACTACCGCTCCCCCCACCTCTAAACTGGCCAAAGCTGTGTAGGTAGAAGGTGGGGTTAGAACAGACACATGGGGCAGGGATAAGGGAGGAGGCTGAGGAAGGTGCTCCCAGAGGCAACATTAGTAGCGTGAAGTAAGGAGGGAGAAGGGGGAATCACAGAGCCACTGATGTGGTAAACAAGTACCTCCCCCCATGCCCCTGGTCTGGTATGCATCCTCCTTTTCTAATAGCACTGGATTTCCTTTTGGGACACTGTTGCTGCCTGCACAGCAAAAGGCTGGTTCCAGACCCTTTTTCTTCTCAAGGCAGTACAGCCTAAGTCACACAGCCAAAGCTCACTCTCCAACACCTCCCCCCTCCCACCCCGCCCCACAGCTTGAGAATGTGAGCTGTCACTGGTGCAGGTGCACTGAGACAGGCCAAAGGAGCTGCCTGGACCACCACCCCCTTCTAATTTGGGCCTCTAAAGCCATGTCACATCTGAGAGCCCGGCAGTTTTTATAGCCTTTCCAGAAGTTAACCACCACTAATTTATGTGGCTTGCCAACAAAAACCTAAACCACCACAAATAGAAGAAAATGGGAAAAGGTAGAAGGCAGTAAAAATGCCGAAAGTCATGAGGAAGGGGTGGGGATTATACAAAACAGAAACACTAAAGGCAAATGCCAGCAGATGTGACCATCTTTGACAAGACAACTAAAGAACGTTTATGACCTGAAAATGACTGGTATTGATTTCTACTTGCCAGAATTTATGAAAACTCAAAGTCACAGTTCCCTGAGTAATACACATTAGGAGAAGATAATGTTCTGAGTTAACCACTCCTCATTATGGAGCACTGAAAGAGAACAATTAGACAACATTTCTAGAATACATCCAAAAATTCCACCAGGCCTAATGAAGTACAAGCCTTCCAGATGCTCATTTCTTTTTAACATCCACACTCTTCCTGAAAGTAGAATGGTCCCAGGTAAAACAGTTCTGGGCTTGGCACTGTTGACAAGTGACCAGATAACTCGTGGGGACTGTCTACACACTGTAGGATGGTTACCACAGCCCCTGGCCTTTCACCGTTATATGCCATTGGCACCCCCTCCCCCCCGAATCCAGTTGTGGCCATAAAAAATGGGTCCAGAAGAAACTGGTAAATGTCCGCTGGGCAGGGGCAAAACCATGCCCAGCGAGAACCATTATACTAGAAATATTTTCTCTATAGTGCTTCATCTCAACAAAGCAGACTATTATCTGTAATAAGGAAAAGAGATTCTTTTTTTTCCTTTTTATTTTTCTTCAAGACAGTCTCACTCTGTTGCCCAGGTTAGTGTGTCCTGGTGTTAGCCTCGCTCACTGCAACCTCAAACTCCTGAGCTCAAATGATCCTCCTGCCTCAGCCTCCCGATTAACTGGAACTATAGGCATTCACTACAAGGCCTAGCTAATTTTTCTATTTTTGATTGAGAAGGTCTCACTCTTGCTTGGACTGGTCTTGAACTCATATGACTTCAAGCAATCCTCCCGACACCTACCGGAGTGCTAGGATTGTTAAGAGTGAACCACCCCACCCCACCCCATCCCACCGGGGAAAGTAAACTCTAATTTTCATGGACCATTTTTTCTCACTGGAGAGGCCTGAGCACCTTTATTATGTATAACATGTCTCTTTCACTTATTCTTTACCTATTTGCTGAGCTGACCAAATGGCTTAACAAAATTCTCAGCTGGGCTCAGTGGCTCATGCCTATAATTCTAGCACTCTGGGAGGCCAAGGCAGGTGGATTGCTTGAGCTTAGGAGTTCAGGAGCAGCCAAGGCAAGAAAGAGACCCCATCTCTAAAGAACAGCCAGGTGTTGAGGCGGATACCAGTAGTCCTGGCTCCTGGGGAGGCTGAGGTTAGTGAATTGCTTGAGCTTAGGAGTTTAAGGTTGCTATGAACTATGACACCATAGCATTCTATCCAGGGCAGTGGTTCTCAATCTTCCTAATACCGAGACCCTTTTATACAGTTCCTGTGGGTCGCGACCCACGGGTTGAGAACCACTGATCCAGAGTGACAAAGTGAAACTCTGTCTAAAAAGTAAAAAAATTCTCAGACTGTAGTCTATGGATATCCCGCATTTTTTCTTCTGTCTACATTGGTGGAAGAAGTAGTGTCCTGGGCCACACAATAATAATTAAACACTAATGAAAGCTGATGAGCACGTGCACACACACCCCCCCAAAGGTCTGTGTGTATTTTGTGACATCTGAACCACAGATAAGCCCCCTTCCCAAAAAAAAAATCTTCACAGAATCTGCATGTGACCCCTGGGCCGGAAATCACAAAATCTGCATGTGACCCCTAGGCCGGAAATCACAACATCTGCGTGTGACCCCTGTTCACTTAGAAGTGAACAGGCACTTAGCCCTCTGATGAGGGCCATGGTGAACAGGCAATCAGAAAACTCCTCAAAAGCCAGCTCTACAAAGTAAAGGCCTGGGTCCCCTGAAGCACAGAGGATGCCAGGTAATGCTGATGGAATATTTCAAGTGACTACTGCATCAAAACCTAGAACTATGTTGTCCAACGTGGTAGCCGCTGTGACCAGTTCAAACTAAGATGTGCTAAAAGTGTAAAATAAATCCTAGATTTCCAAGAATTAATAGCAAATTTTATATTACATGTTAAAATGTTTCATACGTAAGTTAAATTATATTATTAAAATTTACTTCACCTGGTTCCTTTTACTGTTTTTTATTAACATGACTATTGGAACTGTTTAAGTTATATGGAGGGTACGCATTGTACTTCCGAGACTGCCTATCACACCAGTGATGACCGTTTTTTCTAGGGCTTCTCCTAGTGACTGCTTCATATCAATTATCACCAACTCCTAAATCACTCAGTTAATCATAGCAAGTCTTAGTACAATGTAACTGCCGAATGCTGCAGCCCTGATCAATGCTTGATTCTTTTTCATCCTTCTATCCTTGCTATTGCCTACCACGTAGGAGAACACCAGTAAATACTCCCAGGGAAGATATAGAGAACAGAAAGCCCTGCCATTCTGTTTGAAGGTTAGCTTCTTTAAAGTGCTTTCAAGTGGCTTCTAGACTATTGCAAAGTGTGGTAAAACTCGGCTATCTAAAAGGACAAGCATAAATTATCTTATCAAATAGACACCCATGAAGTGCAGCTACAGATTTTAAAAAGTGACAATTTCCATCAATCCTAATGAAAATGAGTAGGAAGCAATTTTATATAAGAATTACTAGATGCACATAAGCACCAGGGGCAAGGAAGACCTATAAATAGCTCTCGCAAGAGTACCAAAACAATTCACTGGTGAGACAACAGTCTTGTCAGCAGTGATACTAAGACAAATAGATGCCCACATACAAAAAAAATGAAGCTGGACCTCCTACCTCACATATACATAGACATAAAATCAAAATGGATCAAAGACTTAAGTGAAAGAGCCAAAACTACAGAACTCTTAAAACAATCAAAACAAAACAAACAAACAAAAAACCAGAAGTAAATCTTTATGACCTTGGGTTAAGAAATGCTTCTTAGATAAAATGCCAAAAGCAAAATAATACTAGCAATAAATCAGACTTCATCAAAATTAAAAATTCTTACACTTCAAAGGCATCATCAAGAAAAAAAAAAAAAAAG